ATATATATATATATATGTACATACATACATATATATTTTAGCCTCAGGTCAGAGAGAAAAAAGGCAGTTCGCGACAGCAGTCAATCATAAACTTCACACTGACTCATTTTGAGCAAATAATGTTTTCTGGTGTGCAAGGTGTTAAATGTAACTCACTGTTGAGGAAAGTATAGAGTGTTTGGGTGTCAAAACAAGTGGAGTGGCTAATCCTCATCAGCTTGACAAAAGACCGGCCAGTAAGAAAGCTCAAACAGAAAAATGCCAGTTTTCCTAATAATCTAGAAAGGTGGGCATTATTAGTGAGATTACGGGGAATTGATCACACAGTAGCCTTTAACACAGACTGCTCAGAACAGAACCTGTTTCATTTGTTCAAAGATAAAATAAATTGGCAAGAAAATCAAAACAATCCTCTCTGCTACATGTCTCTGCATGTGAGTTATGATTACATTTCAGAGGTTGAATATTTCAGTGTAAATAAGTAAAGCAACAACAGCAGAATTAGTTGCTTCTTAACTAAATTAAATCAATATCTTTGCCTTAACAGGCTTGAAGATGACAACTTGTGGTTTATAAAATTAAACTTTGGGTCTGCTATTTTTTAAACTAACAGGACAAAAATAGTTTAAAGAGACCCATTTATTTTTACTTACAAATTCAGATTTAAAATTTTGGGTGAAGAGAAGTATATATAATTCAATGATCAGAAAACAGGATATACATTTATATGTTAAAATACTAAACAACACTTTTTTTCTGAAGTCTGTTTTAGCTATGGCTAATTTTCAACACAGTGATTAGTTATAAGTTTTATTATTAAAGTACTTTACATTGTGTCACTCAGAGTACATGGCAGGAAGAATTCAAACATGATAATAATAGCTGTGTTTCCATCAGGCTTTTAATTTTTACCATTCCGTGGTTTGAGTTTGAAGTGTAGAAAAAAAGGCACAGAAAACAACAGAACGGTATTTTCAGCYAGATTTGTTGTTTTTATTGATTCACATCGGCGAGTTTTGGGCATGTTTGTTGTCCTGAAGGAAAAAACAGAGGTGGAGGCCTTCGTGTCCAGTTGTCCTCCTCCTACAACACTGTTATTGCAAGTATGACTCCGCCCCCTGTGAGCAAAAGGTGTGAATCAGGGCCCCAATGATACCAACACAAAGAGGGAAAGAAACAAAAACAAGGGGACAATGAGCCCCGCCTGCATTCACTACATACACAACATGACACCTAAGAACCACAGCATCCAAACCAATAAATAAGTCAGGTGATGGGGCACATGACCCTCTATGAACAATAGAGCTAATCAAGCCTATTGTTAGTCGATGGCCCTCTTTTGTATGTGACTAACCTGTTTGTCCATGAAATAGTCATCCATGTATTTAAGTTTTGAATGTATTTTACTTATGTTTCTTGTTTTACTTATAAATGTATTGTATGCTTACTGTCTTGATATATTTTGAATCATTTCTACTGATGTAAGCTTCCAATAGCACCTTTAAAGTGTAATTTCTTGTTGTTCCAGCTTAAACCTCACACACAAACACCCGTAGCTTCTGCACAAATGGATTGCAGAACTATTTGTTTTGTTGTTATTGGAATGTGAACATGTAAGAGACGATGAAACAGGAAGTATAGCCACATTCTAAGGTGTTTTCCCCTGTTTAAGGACCACAGAACAAGTTTTAACTGAAACCAGGAATTTTTGCTGCTCAGATAAGAACCATTCCTTGCATGTCAGAAATAACCAGTTTTGAGACTGGTTTCYGCTAAAGGTATAAAGATGCTTCACTGGGGCTGTGTCCTCAGACTCAACTTGTATTGCTGTATGCATGTTGACTCTCATTTTATTGCAATAAAATTACTCAGAGACCATTGTAGTGATGAACCTTTTTGATCACGTACTTGTATGTCTGCACTTTGTTTAACAGACATGGATAAGTTTTTTTTTCCACAAAGGAAAAAAACAACAACTGATGTTGGAAGTGATTTGCATCGAGTGTGACATCTGTAGGAACGTGCCCTTTCTAAGCACCTCTCTAAAAAAAATTAAAGAAAATCCAAAATCATGTGTGTAAAATGATATTCCAAAGAAGTTTTTTTTTAGAATTTACATTTGAATCAACTTCTAATCAACCTTATTCCTCTGAACAAATGAACAAATAAGATGCAGTAAAGGTGCAATAGTCAGTGTTTACAAAACAGCAGAATAAATCAAATGGGAAGATGTGTATAACAGCCAAGTATTCAGTAAGTCATGCCCTGAAAAACATTTGTTGTTTCTTAATAGACCAATGAAACCTCAACAAATGACTTCATGGAAGAATGGTTAACTTTGATATAAGAGGTCTGTGACAACTGATAAAACAATGTAATTCATTCATATTATGCAGTCAATAGATCTAAATCTAACTGAGTATATAGTATTTTGCATATTTAATTTGTGAAATCACTTTTTGAAATAAAGTCTCTCTAACTGAGACTCAAGTGGCGTGAAGCTATACTTAACACATAAAATGCTCCGAATGCCATTTTGGTCACTTTATAGGTTCTCTGTTTATAGAAAGCTTGCATTAATATAATTACATTCTTGCTTTTGTGGTACGTTCCTGTTATAATTTGCTTTTGTTAGAAATAGACTTTGTCTCAGCTGTACAAATCAAAAACGCCAGAAAGAAGTGTTGAAAACCGTGCTCCCAGGTCACGTGGATAATTTGATAGCCTGCAAAACAAACAGCCACAACAGAGTCGTTCTAACTCTAAGCTGTTTCCCTCTCCTGTTCTTTGACCGAACTCTCTTTGTTGCGTGAGCTGAATGGAGGGTTTCACTGTGGGATCTTGACAGGGCAGTAATTGGAGCGTTCATAAAGAGATTACGCCTGTGCTGATGGGAACAAGGCTGATTTCAAAACTCAGACGCACAAGCAGGGGCGGAACCAGAGGGTGGCCAGGGGTGGCCATGGCCACCACAGACAAGTCTTTGGCCACCCTGCTGTACACACCCCTTACACAGTGAAACAAMCTTTAGGGGTGTAATAATCCTCCTGAACAGTTGGTGGCAGTGTTTAACAGTTTGAAACATCACCAAGCTCAAAAAAGTGACAAAAAAGTGATTGTTTTCTTTATATACAGAACAAATGCCTATGTATTCTGACTTATGGTGGCAAATTTTTTTTTGTCACCATAACACAGTGTCATTTTATGTTCTGAGGACTGAATGATTCTCTGTCCATTTTGGTTATGAGTTAGACCTATCACTAAATCAGAAAACGTGAAATGCCTCTTTAAATTCACTGTTGGTGATTATCAATAWTGCACCTGTATATTGGGTAAAGTTATTAATATTGGTTTTAAACATGCAGTTGAAGGTCATTATTTGGCAGAATGATGTGTTAAAATTAAAAATAAACCAATAAACGACATAAAAGTAAAAAGCACCCCTAAAGTCATTGGATATGATAAATTGTGTCACATTAATTAATATTATCTCAGCTAAAGCAGTGAGTTTAAAAACATAATGAAACTAGTTCAATGAATAATCTGTCTCTGAAATAATTATTAAATCGTGTTTATTTACGTAGGTAAAAGTATGTTAAACAACCTGGTAAAATACACCAGAATGCAGGAAATGGCATCGATTTCATCCAAAAGTTTGTCGTCACTGCCTGTATAGGGACATAAGGAAATGACAAAAACACAAAGATCTGCAGAAAACTTTCAAGTAAAAAGTGATGTAATTTTCCTGGCCACCCCTGTGTGAGTACTGGTCCCAGTCTGGCCACCCCTGAGAAAAATGTCTGGCTCCGCCACTGCGCACAAGCTTCCATAACACTCTTACTGTACCTTGCATCCAATCAACACCCACCTGGTGATGACATCTCAAACTAAGTTTAGCTCTAGTGCATTTAGAGGAGTGTAACTGTATCTTGCAGAGGTCTGCATAGTGGAAGAAACAGGAAGAAGAGGGTGGAGCAGAGTGGGAGAGGTCTTTTTACAACAGCCAGCAGGGGGAAACTGACTGGTGTCATTGGGTCATTTTTTCTCTCTCATACATCTGCTCATACCAGAGCAGGAACACATGTACAGGAAGCCCTCAGATACTAAACGACTACGCCTGTTTGTCAGCAGCATGCGTGTATAAACTGGTCTTGAATGCATGCAGCTCACAGGCTCCCTGCTCAGCTGGGTGGACTGTCCATGAGTGCTGGGTATCTGTCTCAGGATGTCACGACGGGACCAGAGGTTCAGGAGAGGAATGACAGGACGGTAAGAACTGACTGTTACCTCAAGAGATGTTTAAGTGAAAGTGGCAGCGACAAACTGAAGGCAGAAGATAGGAGGAATGAAAGGGTGAGAGGAAAAAAGAGAAACACTAAATTAACCTCTGCGTGTATACTTCCTCAAACCGTACACTGCTTCAACAAGAACAGACACAAGCAGGTCATGCTACAATGGTTTGAACTCTCAGCTCAGCTTTGAATGCGAGTAATTTTTGGAGAAAGATAAAAACAAGAGGCTGCCCTCAGTAGATTCAATCTGTCTAAGCAATCTTTATCAGATCAGTACTCACATAGGAATGTTCTTGTTTACACACTATACTTGGATTTACACAATATGCCTAAAAGACAAAACATTAACTGTTGCCTAATTTCCCTTTGTTACAAGTGGTTTCTGAGGAAAGTTCAGCAGGTTGACACAAACAACACAGAGAGGAAGCAAAGCAGAAAAACAAGACATTAGTGTCTTAACCATTAACGTAAAAAGAGCTCTATAACATTTAAAGTTTAATGCACACAAGATGCCCAAACAGTAAAAGCTCAGAAAGAAAGATTACACAAGATGTAAGCAAACAGGAGGTAAAGAGGAGAACTGAGCTGAAAAACAGGGTTTTATCACAACCAGATGTTCAAATGGAATTACAGCTGTGAAGCTGAAGGATTCCACATCCGTTGCCAGCAGAATAGCAAAGACATTAGAACAAAACAAGCAAAAAAAAACTGCAGCTTTATGAAGGCTTTATTACCTAATTATTTCCTCAGCAACAAATGAGAGTCAGGCTATTAGAGCTCAGCATTTTTCTTTGAGCTGTTCGAGGCGTTTAATGTAATCATTTGTATTTCTTGCAATAAAACCCACAGTATGTTTTACAGTTCCAACAACGGCAACAACAAATTCTTAAAAGTAAAAGAAAAAAAATGAAGAACTTAATGTTGTCACACTAGAAAAGAATGACTAATGAGTATCAACATTTCCACATTTCCTCGTTTTTGTTAAAATATGAAAAACCACATCAATGACACAATTTATCATGTATATATATAAATATATAAAACGATAAATGTCTGTTTAGAATAAAATGCTCCTAACGAACAATGCTTTTCTCCACTTTTTTCTACATATAAGACATCCTCTATCTTTATTGTAAAAGTGATATTTCCAGTGAACGCTGGGACAAAGGAAACATGGATTGGTGGTCAGTTCAGGAAGTCACCTCCCACTCCAGCTGTAGTGTTGACGAGATAAGGAAGCAGGGTTTGTATTATTGTTGTACTCAAGATACTACAGTTTAAAGGAGTAAATGTCAATGAGTTAAACTGCTATAAAAGAACAAATGTTTCCTAAATGGCAGCCATCCTTTAGTTTGACCTTTCATTGATTTTCTGATGTAATGTGAAATGTTTGTGTTGGTTGGGTTTTCTTTTGGAAAATTTTATGCTTTCATAAAACAATGAAGTGTCGATTTATCAGAGCTTCTGTCTGAAACGTGGAACACTGATTATCTGTCAGAGGAGCACCTTTTTTCAAGGCTGGACTAACTAAACTAACACACCAAAGTTGCTGGGTCAGGAAACACCAAAAACAGGGGGCTGAAAAGATCTACCTAAATTACATAAACTTCAAAAAGGATTGCCATTARAATATTTATCCCTTATTGTTTTAAATAGATAAAAACAGTAAACAGATCATGTCAATGGATTAAAAATTAATTAATGTCTGATTATGTTCTTTGTTAAGGTGCTTAGATGGCGTTGTTTCCATGTTTCTCCTGGAGTCACAAGTCTCTGAGATTGTTTTATTTTGTGGGTCATATGAGCTATTTTCATGTGGAGTCGTCTGCTGAACTTTAAGATAATGCTCGCTTGCTTCCTCTTTCTTCTAATAAGACTTTGAATTCGTTGAGAAACTTATCGCCCAAGAGCTATCCATTGTTTCTGCATCGTTCTGTTGCTAAAACTTTGTGTCTTGTGTTTAATGTGATCTTTTCTGTAAACCTGTAACGTCTTCGCCTCGGCTCTCCATAATGTAACCCTCCACATCACATAAACTGGGGAGGACCACAGGAGGATGCAGAAGCCCAAACACAGTTTCTTGTTCACAGTGAAAACTTTTGTAATGTGTGAAAAAGACAAAATTAAAATCTAGAAACAGACACAAGAGAGCAAAAGTGAACATTTAACGATCTACAGTAGGTTCAATCACTGATGTCCTCAAACGAAAACAAAATGAACTAGACATGGGTTTTTACGATGTAAAAACAAGTGTGCATTGCCATGTAGCATGGCATTGCCTGCAGCATTGGACTTGCCGAATGAACTTTGACCAAGTTTAAATGTGTTTTCTATACCAGCTTGTGCCTGTCACATCAGCAGGTGTTTGTAATTAAGGTAATTGWGTGACAATATGAAGTTTGAAGAGATTTTTTGTTAAAGTTGCATTAGCTGGGTTTTGAACCCTGATCTCCCACATGTAAGTCCATGACATAGACCATTAGACCAATGGTGCTGTGGCAGAAGGTGATGGCAGGGGTTGGTTTGTATGTGTGCAGAAAGAGGCCACATTGCCAATACAATTATTGACACAAAAATGCATAATATTACAACAATCGAGCAGTATTAAGACAATATTATAGTAAAACATCAAAATACAATCATATTAGTACAGTAAACACTGAACTACTGAGTTGAAATATTAAACTATGGTGCAGTACCAACTTGAGTACAGCTGGGGGCAGTATTGAACCAATACAAGGCTCCATTGACTGCCATTATAGTTCATTAARCATTAATATTTCATAAACTATAAGTTTTACAGGCACCAAAAGGCATAGCCATCATTTGGCACGGGAGCTTTACAGATATAAATTACAAAGGCAGCTCTATGACAAAGTATGCAGGAGGAGAAGCATGGCAAAGTTGAGATGACTTGGATGAGAAACGAATCACAATAGTGTGCATTGCATGCACACTGATGAAAATTTCAGTCATTTTTATGATGGTTCTCATTTATTTAATTTCAGACTGAAATTAAATAAATGAGAACCATCATAAAATAAAGCCAATATTTAACATCTTGAATGATGGGTTGAGATGCTTTTTTGTCTAAAAGCTTTGTTTGTGAAGTTAGAATATTGTGTAGTTGTTTTCCACAAGAAATACTGTAAGTGTTGTATAAACTAAGCATGCTGCAAACTCATAGAAACTTATAAAGAAAAACAAATGAATTGAAACTATCCACAAAAATAACTGAAAATTTACAATGAGGTCAACAATATCTAAAATTTACCACCTGCTGTCATCGAAGAGCAAAAGAGTAATCTTTCTTTGACCATGAATCTTTTAGATCATGGGTCAGCTTTCATTCCAAGTCCCTTTTTCCATTGTTGACCAAACGTCAATGGCTGTAACGTAAGCCTTTCCTGTTTGACAGCCCATTCTCAATTATTTTTCATCTCTTTGTTCTTTCTGTTTTTCCTGCTTCCCTTTGTGTGTAGGTGTTGTGAATGTGGGTGCATCCTGTCTCACTGGTACTACGAACGAGAGGGACAGCTTTTCTGTAAAAAGCACTACTGGTCCCGTTTTGGAGAACACTGCCACGGCTGCAAGGAAACCATCACGACGGGACTCATAATGGTAACATGACGATATGAAATTCAGTTTTATCTTATAGTGGTGTTTTACAAAGGAAGCAAAAACAGGACAATAAAACTCCCCCCACACCCTTCCCATGGCCTGACCTTGTTTTGCGTATCTGAATACAGTTTTGTTTCAGTCACGACAACGTAACAGTTGTGCATTGATTATCCAGTTCACTTGCTTCAAAACATTTTACATTCAGACAGGAACAAATTGATTGAGCTACTTTAAAAATAGCTGTCTTATTGATCACTCAGAGCACCAGTTATTTAACAGGAAGGTGCCCCGATGAAGGACAACACAAAGGGTACCTCAAAAACCTTTGGTATATAAGAAAATGCTTTTAATGACGCAGTATAAAGGAGTTAGAGCACTGTCAAAACCCAATTAAAAACATCTTTTTCTGCAATAGATGCGTGCTGAAATGTGATCTTCAACCACAACACATCTCAGCTTGCTATCAACTAAGACAGGGGTCTGCAACCTTTACGATAAAAGGAGCCATTTCTGCTCTTTGTCTCACCAATAAAATGTGTTCAGAGCGACAAAACAAGCTTCAACTGTGATTATAAACTGGTGGTCCGCGGGCCTTTGCGAGGCCTTTTTGGGAACTTTTATAGTCAGTGGAGGAGACATTTTAAAACTAAAGGAATATTGTTATTATTATTTATTATTATTTATTATACACATCAGGACAAATAAAAATACCATATTCATGTAAACAAGAAAAATACTGTATATAGTTTATATCGAATTTCATAAAAACTAGTACAACCAAATTATTTAGGCGTATTTATTTTCTAATTCTTAATATTATGTAGTCCAAATTCTTTAAAGGTAATTCTGATGGATTTGAGAGAGAGGTCATAGAAAGAAAATGGAGTCTTTAAGTAAACAACACGGTAGCATGAGCTAATATGTTTTACTTTTTGTATTTGTAGTATTGATCACATGTTTGCATACAAATTGATTTCTATTGTGGGTATAAAAAAGATTATGTTATGTTTGGTCACATTTTCAAAGAACCACTGCAGAGGGACCAAAGAGCCACGTGTGGCCCCACAGCTGCCGGTTGCAGACCCCTGAACTAAGAATACCTTCAAAGCCTTCTTGCTTCTTTGTTTTCTCCATATGAATGCAAAGGCCTTTATGTTTATGTATCTAACAAATTCAGGGGATATCTTTAAAAAACATTATTCGAAAGGATAAACCAATGAATTTTTTCATAAAATGATGACCCAAATTAAATGTTTATATTTTTTTTTACCTACGTATTTACTGTTTAACAATACTATTTCTCTTTATGTTTAGGTTGCAGGAGAGCAAAAGTATCACCCTGAGTGCTTCACTTGTATGAGCTGTGAAATGGTCATTGGAGACGGAGACACATACACACTTATTGACCGCTCTAGACTTTATTGGTAAGTTCATAACWGAAAAGTAAGCAAAATGAGTCTGTTCACACACGTCTATGTTATTGATACACGCCCTCTCGTCATTTCAGCGGCCACTGTTTCTGTCAGGGTGTTGTGCCGGCTGTGAGGTCAATCTCCCTGACAAAGCGGCCCCACATGGTGGCGCTGGTGACTCTCCCTCCCATCGCAGCTGGCCGGCGAGGCCTGACTGTTGCCACTAACTTCAGCCAAGACACAAAACCTCTCGTCACTGTGACCAAGTGAGTCTCTGGATTTCAAGCTCCAGTGATTGCATTCGCCAACAGCAAGGTTTAAAATTATTTTTAGAGGGTTTCTTTAATCAAATTGTGTGGTTTTTTTTCTCAATTCGAGTGCAAAATATTATATTTTTGCTGAAATTGCATCCTGCTGTACATCTTTAGCATCATAGCAAAGAGTCAATCATCGGTAACATCGAACTAAAACACAACTGACAACTTTTTCATTATTTCAAATTACTGACAAAGATCATATCAAAACATAAACACTATATCCTCTACCCCTTTGCTACTAACCCTAACCCTACCCTAACCTAACCCAACCTCTCTTGGGTCATTGTGCGTGACCCAATTTATTTATTTTTCTCTGTTTTAGTTTAGATTCATCGGTCTTCAGCCCTGATCTGCTCTCTTCTATCCAAGCTGGTGATCGAGTACTAGAGGTCAACGGCATTCCTGTCCGCAACATTTCACCAGAAGAGGTACGAACACAACAAAGAGGTGGTTGCAGTGGTTTAATGCAGAATAACCATCAAATCTACCTTGATATTGTGTTTTCTAGATAGACCGTGTTGTGCAGGACACAAGCAGACCACTTCAGCTGACCATTGAGCACAACCCTCATTCTCCTCTTCAATCAGAGAGTTCCCCAGAAAGAATCAACTGTCCTGACTCTTGTTTCCATGATAAACTTACTTCAGCCACAAAGCTCCCGAGTCTGGAGGAAGAGCCGAATAAAAAAGAGGAAACAGATGGACCAAGGATGAGCCTCTCACCACCTCAACACCAAGGAAGCACAGGGATTCGATCCAGGCACATTTGGTAAGTACTGTCAGATATCTTTCAGTCACTGAACTTCTCTTTATCTTTGTCTAAGTCGTCCTTTCTTTCTCAGGCGAAGCTGTAGCATAGACAAGTGTCCCCTGTCTCCTAGAGCGCTGTCGCTCATTTCTCAAAAGAGGGACATGGTTCGCTCAGAGTCTCTTCGGGTAGACCCTGGGGAACGCACACATCGCATCTTCAGACCTTCAGATCTCATTCATGGAGAAGTCCTGGGCAAAGGCTGCTTTGGACAAGCTGTCAAGGTACTGCTGTTACTCTCCTCCCTCACTGCGAGGCTCTCATTCCTTCTCAAAGACCCGTTAGTTCTGTTGAAGGCCTGGTTACCTCAGGGCTGTGATGACATTTTTCACTGTCCAGGTAACGCATCAAGAGACAGGGGAAGTGATGGTGATGAAAGAACTCATACGGTTTGATGAAGAAACACAGAAGACATTCTTAAAGGAGGTAAGCGTTGGTCGGAACAGAGAAAATATGTTTGAAGATTTATAAAGCAGCAAGTCCCTTACAATCCACACAGGTGAAAGTGATGCGCTGTCTCGACCATCCCAACGTGCTCAAGTTTATTGGACTGTTTTATAAAGACAAAAGAATACATTTTGTCTCCGAATACATCCAGGGGGGCACGCTCCGAGAGACCATTGTGAAAATGGTGAGTTAAAATTTGGTTTTATGCTGTCACTAATAGCACTGACTGAACCCTCAAACAAAGTGAGCTGGATGTATTCTTGTTGTGTAGGATGAGGATTTTCCTTGGAGAATAAAAGTTGGTTATGCCAAAGACATAGCATCTGGAATGGTAAGTCTTTTTAATCAGACTGTGGCAGTAAAAAAAATCTTACCGTACAGGAAGACACTAATGGCTAATATAAATTTTATTTTCCTTTAAAGGCTTATCTACACTCCATGAATGTTATCCACAGAGATCTCAATTCATACAACTGTTTGGTCAGAGAGGTGAGAAAATGGCTCAACAAGATATATAAAATACTTATTTAATAAATAAGGACATTTTCTTAAAACATCTATGCAAATTTTTGATGCCTGTTTAGCACAGTACATAGAGCCTCTTAGCTTAGTTTGATAAACAAATGTCAACCGTTTGATTGAATTATCCTTAAAGTTCTTAATGTGTTTGGTTTAGGACCAGTCTGTGGTGGTGGCAGATTTTGGACTTGCCAGACTGGTGATGGAGGAAAGAAATCAGAGCAAAACTTCTTCTCTGGAAAGGCCTGCAAAGGGGTCACTGTCGGAACTGCGCAGAACTGACCGGAGGAAGCGGTATACTGTGGTAGGAAACCCTTACTGGATGGCCCCTGAAATGATCAATGGTGAGTTTGAAGCGTTTATAGAAGGACGATGACTAAACAGGATTTTCTTTGCAGAAGTCTATGTGTAAGAAATGTTCGAGTTATTTTTTTTTTTTCATTAGTAAAATTATGCTTCACATTTTCTACTATTTCTGCATTTCAGGGAAAAGCTATGATGAACGGGTGGACATATTTTCCTTTGGGATTATGACATGTGAGGTAAGAACAAGACAAAAAAGGATTTCAGATATGTTTATGTGCCAAAATGTCTACTTTTTTCTAAAAAGCAGTAAAAATCTCTCTTTATGTTTCTCCAGATTATTGGTAAAGTGAGTGCAGATCCTGACTATCTTCCACGGACAAATGATTTTGGACTAAATGTAGAAAGTTTCTTGCAACAGTACCACCCTCCTGAGTGCCCCTTTGCCTTTCTGCCATTGGCTGTTCTCTGTTGCGACATGGATGCTGAAAAACGGTATTAAGGCACAAATATTTGCAATCAGATCATTAGGATGAAGCCATGAAACAAAGTAACTGTTACAGTGTTGTTCAAAATATGTTTGAATTAGAAAACTCCTTCTTCTTTCTAATTAGGATAGTAAATATCATAAACATAATATGCTAAATTATTGTTAATTTCATTGTGCGTGAATTATTCATGCCAGCGTGTTGTGGTTTGCTGTTTGTAGCTTTACCACCACAGATAGAGTCATAAGGTCATTTTTTAAAGTGCCTGCCTTATACTGCACAAGCAAGCTAAAACAAAATAGACTACATGTTAATAATTCATGTAATTACCAACAAACTATTTATTACTGCATTTCTTTCCCTTTTAGTCCATCCTTTTCAAAGCTGGAAGAGTGGTTGGCCAACCTGTTGATGCACCTGGACATCAACTTGCCTCTGCTTTCTGAGCTAGAGCAACTCTGTAAAGCTTTTTGGAAGAATCACAACCACAGCCATACTCACAACCAGGACAAGGCTCTTGTACCTCATGAAGAAAAGTGTTTGGAGCCTGATCGACAGAGCCCAAGCCCCAAAGAATCCAATCAGCCAAGTCCGAGCCACAGTCAAAGCAGCACTCACAAGAGTGACTTGAACAGTGAGCAACACACTTGTGAAAATCACAACAATGTGAAGACTGGATCACAAGACACAAACAACTCTTGCTACAGGTCTGTCTGTGTGGATATAGACCATAGTTCATGGGAAACAGACAAAGACGGTAATTTTGTAGCTCAATCAAATTCCCAGCATGAGCCCTTAAAACCACTGCAGGTCAACAGCCCACCACTAAGTAAGTCAAGCAAGCCTAAAAGGACAAGTCAAGTGCTGTGGGATAGATCTACAGAAGACAGCTCTTTACTCTGACTGTTTATCTAATGGATGAGGTGGGACACAGCTACAGCTCTGAATAAATTCAATTGCTGAGGGCAGTTTTGCCTTAGTGCCCTCATTTTCAACCTGTCCAGACTGTATCCTAGCTCTTACATAGTGAATGCTTGAGATGGGCAAACCCCGTGACCCAGAAAGGAAGGATGGATGGATGGATGGATGGATGGATGGATGGATGGATGGATGGATGGGTGGATGGATGGATGCATAGATGGATGCATGGATGGATGCATGGATGGATGCATGCATGGAAGGATGGATGCATGGATGGATGCATGGATGGATGGATGGATGGATGCGTGCATGGAAGGATGGATGGATGGATGGATGGATGGATGGATGGATGGATGGATGGATGGATGGATGGATGGATTAATGGATGGATGGATTAATGA